ATACAACAAATGATCTCTTCTTCCCATATCCCATCTCTTATCTATAAACAAATCCATAAAGATTGTCATTTCAGTTGTGGTGTCAGCAAAAGTCCATTAAGGGTTACCAGAAATAACAACATATCTATGTTAACCTTGATCAAATAAACCAACTTTACATTCCTTCCTTTTACTTCTGAAAATCTTAATCTTTAGTCCATTCAAATAATGTCTTAGAACTTTATTTCTTTTCATTTTTTCTTTGTCCCTTCTCACGAGAGTCTTCAAAAGTTTAGCAAGCCTCTTTTGTAAATCCAATGTAGGAGAATTATCCAGGTCACTCTCTTGGTTTATTGTTTGTATATCCCTTTAATTATTAAAACATTAGTCAGTTTCTATTGTATATCCAGTGTAGCATCTTTTTCCATGTCATTCTTGTAACCTGTCATTTGTAAATCCACTTTCAACTCAGTCTCAATCTTGTCAGGTAAAACTTGTTCCTCTTCCAAAACATCTTTTAGACACAGTTTCTTCATAGAGGCAGATGTCTCTGTTGACATTATTAATATTAATTTTTAAGTCCATTTTTCAAAAATGTCCTTCAATATGTCCAATGTTAGAATATTTTGCTCCATTCTGATATTGTAAGTTGAGTTTATGTGTTCTTCTCTTTTAATTGTAACCTTTAATTCCCTCTAGTGTCCAATTTTTAAAATCTTATTTTTTTAAAAAAAAATCAGAACAAAAGCATTTTCCCACAGGAAGAATTCTTTATAATTAATTCCAAAATCTTATATCAAATTTATCTGGACTCTTAGTCCGTTTGTCACTTTCTAAAATCAAAGTTTTAATCACCCCTTTGTTGGTTATTTTCTCCCCGCCTCAATTTTTTTAAGTTCTTAAACTTGTAGTTAAAATTTTGCTAAGTTTTAATCCTTCGCTAAGGATTGAAGGAAACTCACCTGGTTTCCTTGTCATTCCAAAAGTTTCTAATAGCTGAAAAGCAGTTAATAAGCAATTTCCAAAAGTGATTAGAAAAGGAAGTATGCAAACCTAGTTTCAAAGGCACCAACTGGCTATTCCCTTGTCTCCCAGAGCTCTAAAGCCACTGGAGAGCACTACCTTTGTGGTCTCCTCTCCCGGAGCAGCTTGGAGCACTT